GCAAAACCTCTTCTGAAACAATTCAGAGAAAGAAAACGAGCCATAGCTTGTTCGTGCTCTCATGTTTCATGTTTGCATTTGTCTTCTATTTTCGGTTCTGATATGGTAACTAACCTATAAACGGACCAACAGCAAGAATAATTAGATGTTTGAGTAGTATGAGCTCAGTAGTGTGCTACTTATATTTGCATGTTGAGGTCAATTGAACAGAAATAGCTAAAAATGAAAACCAGGTCTGAGGTGACGGCTGCTCTGTTTTCAATGTAGCTCCGTGTTCTCGGCTCACTTGAATTATGGGTGTTCAATGACTCAGATGGTGCTAAGAGGCGGGGATCTCAAACATTTTACAAGTAACAGCCTTTATTTGTGAGCCACACCCAGATCAAACCTGCATTTATAAAACTGTACAATTCTAAAAATGTGATATGTGTATTTTTGCCAAGAGCTTTGCCTTAATAAGGATAAACAACTGAAGAAAGAGCTGCTTTAAAAGCTTTATAAGTGGACGTCACCGCCTTAAAGGCTTCAGAGCAAGTCAAGCTGTTTCCTAGTGTTTCAAGTCTTTAATGTAATCTAAATGTGGCATTATTGCTTTAATCCCAACATACAGACACATTTCTGTCACCCATTCATGCAAATTCAGTCTCAGTTTGTGTCATTGTGTATTGAAATCCTTGACAGAAACATCTCCGAACACAACTATTGCTGACCCACATTATGCCCTCTATTACTACCCCAAGTGTCATGTGGGTGAGGTAGTTCAGGTTAAAAAAAAAGTGTGACAGATGACCTGATTATAGAAACTGACCATCTACCACTCAAGTCCTGCATAGCTGGTCAAACCGAAAATCCCCTCATTAAAATCCCCTCATTAAAATCCCCTCAACTCCCAGAGAAGCCTTGAGGTCAAACCATGTTTTGGAAATCTTACAGCTTCAAAGTCAAGTGGAGTCGGTAATCCTCCTTAGAACGGGAGAATGAGTTTACAACACCTCGAGGCGAACAGACACCGCTAAGGTGATGCATAAAAAAGTTCTTTCGTGGTACAGTACATGTGTGGGAACATTTTCCTTTGTAGCTACTGGCCTCAAAATCAAAGACATACAGACTGCACTTTCAAAAAAAAAGGTTAAGAGGTCATTAAAGTTAGAGTAACTTTAGCAGCAATAAATAAAATCAAATAAGAAAAAAGAGATGATCATTCTGAACAAA